AATAAGAAATCTACTGCTCTAAATGGGCAAAAAAAATACTCAAATAGCTAGCAATAAGGTAATTTATAATAACATTATATATGTGTGATATGTGTGTGTGTGATATATGCCTAAGTGACCAGCTGACCAGCCAACTGGCCAACTGGCTGGTAGCTATGACATGCACTGACCACCTGAGAAAAGATGCTCAACTCAGGAGTGGGAGCCAAAGGTATGCAACATGAAACAGACTGATGAATCTCAGAGGGAATGGAGTAGGGGGAGGACAGAAAGAGATTAACCAGATCTTTTATGCATACCCTGTGGGGATTGGGCTGAAACTGGCTCTCTAACATTCCCCAAGGATTTACAGATTGCTAGAGGGTGCAGGCTGGGCCCAGGGACTCCACTGGTGCATGAATCCATTCAACAGGCCTCTAGTTAATAATAATCATCATTTGGTTTTCGTAAACAGTTTCTGGAAAAAGACATCTGAGAACACCAGATAGAGTTCTTGTTTATACCATTTAATGTAGTAGTTCATTGGAGTTAATATTACCATATCCATACTTATTCATCTTGTGTTGATGTTATTAGCCTCCATTATAAATTTTGGTTCAATTATCTTTCATAAATCCTTATTTGAACATTTTTATGTTCAGAAAATATAATGCGTCAATAGCTTGCAATATTTAAAGCAGTGTAAGTCAGGTTAATTATGTCTGACACATCTAATATGGAGGTGGTGTTGCTTCAGGTTCTAGTAGAAATTTTGTAGGATGAACTAGATTTTCTTTCATATCATCTTGGTATAATTCTTGATATGTGGAACAAAATGGATGAACCTGTAAAATATTACCCCAAGTACAAAAGCCAGCCATAGAAGACCATATATTTTATAATTCCATTTAAATGAAATGTTCAAAACAGGGAAATCTATAGAGACAGAAAGTATGTCAATAGTGGCTTAGGAATATGGAAAATGGTGGTGGTAGGAAAAAGAGAATATGGAGTTTCTTTCTGAGGTGATCACAATATCCTAACATTGATTGTGGTTTTGCTTGCATGTATCTATTAATATATTATAAAACATTATGTACTTTTAAAAGGGGAATCAGATGATATATTAATTATATTTCAGTAAGCTGTGTAAAATGTGAGGTAAGAGGCATATACATAGCATCTGATACATTGCATTCATTTAGATTCTCCTTTCTTTCATAGCCTGACCGACTAATCCAGTTTAATGAAAATTATGATGCACTTATCATATGCGAAACACTGTGCACCATTACTGCAAGAGATAAAAGATGAAACAGCCACTTACCTTTAAGGAGGTTAAAGTAGGCAGGATGGGATGATGATAATGATGATGATGATAATGATGATAGCAGGAAAAAGAGGAAATGGCTTTTATTGAGCATTTACTGTGTACCAAGAACTGTGTTAATGCTTTCAATGTTATTCTATCTTATTCTCAAACTAATCCTGGAGGTAGACACTGTTATTTCTCCTGACTTTGTATCTGAGAAAATTGAAGCACACTGAGGTAAAAACAAACAAACAAACAAACAAACAAACAAAAAACACCTAACTTAATTAGGCTCACACATCAAAATATGGCACACCAAGATTTTCAACCTGGTGCTTACCCAAGAACCAATGCTCTTAATAATTATAACAAAACACACAATGCAAAGTAAACTAAGGTAAGTATCATGAAGGAGTCAATTAAAAACGATAGAGCTATTTGGGGGGGGGGGGGGAGGAATACATCTTGTTTGCAGCTCAGAAAGGATTAGAAAAATCAGTTCAGTGCCAAAGTGCATAGGTAGTTTGACTATAGTTTTCATGAGTAAAGAAATAGCTATAAAACAACATTAGATTAAATATTTCTCTTTAAAATAAACATGACTAAACAGAAAATAACTATAGAGTTACAGTGACAAAGGTACAACTTTCTCAAAATAAATTTATAATAAACAAAGGAACTATCATATTACAAGATATAAAAGCAGAACCTCTCAAATTTTATTCATTCTTCTTATGTCCAAGCTAATCCTTTTACAGCCTGAGATATTTCAAATTCTTCTTTTTGTGCTTGCAATTACATTCTTAATATAGATTATATTGATTGTTGTCCTCTCCCATCTATTTTCTTATTGACTTTCTCACTGCTTCCCTTTCCACAAAGTTAGTTGAATGTTATGGTTAAAGGTATTAGTCTTATGAGTCACATAAAGCAAATTTTAGTGTTTTTCATGTAAGGGAAAATTATTTTACTTTCAATATGGAGGCTACATATTAAATGATCACCTGAATCTATTTAGCCTCTTGTTCTCTATATATGTCCATATAACTTTTCTGTACCATATTTCAATGACTTACATATAAAAAATAGCATTACTATTCTTCATAAAGTCATCATGAGAATTTTTTAAAATGTCCTTCCCAAAACCTTTCCTAGAAGATTGTTTTGGCTATAATAAGAGGAATAATGAAGCTTTACTTCCTAGTCTGTCAGCATTGATGATAAGCATGACATATTATGTTAGACTATTTTCTTCTTCAGTCATTAAATAAAACAACAATGCAAATGAAATAGCATTTCCTTATACTATGCATAAATGGTCACCTCGAACAACTGCAGACCACAGGGAGATGTGATAGAAGATGTGAGTTATTTTATGTAAGTAATGAAATAAACATTCTAGAGCTCTATGTTATTAGATTAGGTTAGGTGATGAGTGCCATGGTATCAAAAAATACCCAAAATCAAAGTGGCTTACCATAGCAATTTATTTCTCATTCTAAAAACATTCAATGCAAGTCTATCAGTTCTTCAGGGCAGGTACCTTACAGTGACTTAGAGATCCAGGTTGCATCCATCTTGTTGGTATGACATTAGGAGCACATTGCTTTCAGGTCACCATGGCAAGTAAAGAGAGAGCTGGAGGATCCATATAGGACTTTTTATGGCTCCACTATAGAAAGGAAACCACTTCTGTTTACAATCTCTCTGCAAACCCTCTGTTAGAAGTAGTCAAATGGCATTGCCTAACTACAATGGGCTGGGAAGTGATGAGAGCATATTTGATAAGTTATTAATGTCTTTGCCACTTTCCACAAATGATATAAGCTTTTTCATATTTTAATGAACAATTTTTGAAAAACTCTATATGGATACAAAATATCCCTTAAATATAATAAATGAATACAAAATATCCCTTATTTATAATAAATTTATTAGTTTGTAAATCTATAGATTATATATATATTAAGAAACACATGTTATGAAGCTTCAGTGTTATCCAACATGTTATTACATTTATACTTTTTCAAGAACCTTATTGAGAGGTTTTGTTATTTCCACTCAAAAAATTTGAGGAGTCAATATGTTAGTGACCTACTAGATGTTTTCTATTTTTATAATAGTTTTGCTTATGATTCAAGGGACCAGACACAAAATTGGCAATTAAAAAAATAGCTATTGATTCTCATCATGCCAAAATATTTTGTACGTACAACATTGCAATTGGCACATCTCCTGTAATAGGTATTTTTGAAACATCAATTTATAAATCATATTACTCTGATATATAAAAATGTAAAATAAAAATAATTTTCAACTCATTTCAGCATTAGTGGTTAACATGAATCAGCAACAGAAATTTGGCATGGATTCTTAGTAAAATATGATATAGGAAGATCAATGATATTATCATCTCCCAAATTCATCTCTTATTTTAATTCACTAGTAATACTTAAGACAACAAACTTTAAAACAGCATATTTACTAAAATTGTGGCAGTAGTTTTATATAACAAGACACACAATATACTAGATGTCTGGCACTCAGCTTGCTTACACTAAACCAGCTTCAATATGAAGGCATTAAATATTTTTAAAAAACCTTCTTATTTACATGCTAAATATTTTGGCAAGTGTGAAATTAAACACAGTAATGAAATCAATATAGTAATAGTAAGAAATTACAAACTTGAAACTTGTATTTTAAGCATAAATCATATAAAAAAGGAGTACCGGTTATATAGAATATCTGTGGACAATAAAAAATTAATAGTATAAAACATGCAAAATATTTCAGAATCTTTATTAATCAAAAATACCAAGGTCTATTTAAAATTATTCCCGTCCAATTGGTATCAAAGATAATACAAATCATGTAACATTCTAATGCTAAATTCTATTCAGTACTGTTGAATTAGAGGTAAATTTCATAGAATTGGGGACTTGTTTATACTGTTACATTGTTGTTTTTCTTGTTCACTTGAAGCAGCACACAACAACATACCAGAATTTCATCAAGTAAGAAAAGAATGGCTGCTGCACTGGCAAAAATAGAATGTGTAAGGATCAAAGGCACACTATTCAGCTAGCCAAAGTGATAACAAACTCCCCCCCCCCAAGCCCTTTCCCCATGTAAACAAAAGTTTATTAAGGAGAAAAATGAAATAAATTAAACTTAACATCAAAAATAGGATTTTGAGACATCAGTGTTTAGTCCATGCTTCAAAAATGTCAATTATGTTTGTCTGGATCCTTTGGATTATGTTTGAACATATACCCAAGTTAGATAACTTTAAAATTAGATATATTTCTGTCATAAATATTATCTAAAACATTTTACTTTAATTCTAACCATTTTATTTTATTTATTTATTTATTTATTTATTTAATATATTTTATTGATTTCGTACAGAGAGGAAGGGAGAGAGATAGAGAGTTAGAAACGTCGATGAGAGAGAGAGAGTCATTGATCAGCTGCCCCTTGCACACCCTCTGCTGGGGATATGCCTCCAACCAAGGTACATGCCCTTGACCAGAATCTAACCCGGGACCTTTCAGTCCCCAAGCTGATGCTCTATCCATTGAGCCAAACCGGTCTCAGCGAGACATACTTTCTTGACATTTTTAAGTACAGTACTGATTTGTTGCCATAAGCAATAAGTATGGCCCTTTCTGACACAGTGGCATTTGACTGGAAATTCAAAGTCCAGGAATAATTCTATTAACACAGGGAAACTCAAGCATTTTGGTAAAGGGGCCCTAACATTCACAGTTGGATTCTTTTTAGGCCTTGTTTTTTAAATAGAGAAATCTTGCTTTATTTTATCTTGATGTTATCCTGACTTTGACTTAACTCGACTTCTTTTTCTTCTTCTTACTATGTTTCTTGTTATGTTTCTTTTTCTTCTTTTTTGCTTTTTCCATTCTTTGTTCTTGTTCTTCATGTCTTCTCTTCTTCTTTGCTTGGACCTCCTCTTCATAATCTGATTCTGAAGAGGACTCTGATGATAGAGGTTTGTCCTCAGGGTGAGCCTTCTTTCTCTTTTTGCTGACATTTCTAATATACTTTTCTTTCGCTGTTTCATCCGTTGACTTCTTTTTCTTTTTTTCAGATTCCTTGCTTTCTGATTCAGATTCATATGTAGAGCCTTCTGACGATTTGTATGAATGCTTCTTTTTCTTTCTCTTTTTCCCTCGTTTCTTTTTCTCAACCTTATAATCTGAAGAACTGCTCGAAGAATCAGAACTTGATGAAGAAGATGCAGACTGACAAGATTTCTTCTTTTTCTTTTTTTTTCTTTCTCTTTTTCTAGATGAACCCTCATTTCCACTTAATGCTTTCTCCCTGGTTTGCTCTAATTCTTTCTTCCAATTCTCATTCATTTTTTCTTCAAATTCTGCCAGTGCTTTGGAGCCTTTCTTTTTACTTTCTATTTTTTTCTTCACTTCTTCCCAGGTGGGCCTTGGTCGATTCAGATAATCTTGTATTGTTGGGCCTGCAGGTTGAGATGGGCCCCTCCATCTGGCCATTGCTATAGGATTCATATAGGCTACTCGGTTATCTCGCTTTCCCATGGTGCCTAATGATCATAGAGCAGACTCTCAGTTGCTAAGGCGAATAAGGTTAGACACACTCCTTAAGTTCTTCATTTGCTGCTATATCAAGTGGGCTCTATTCTGTGAGAGAAGCAGATGGGATGATAATAAAGCAGCTTTAACATAAGACAAAATAAATACATAAGGTTAACTGTCCCCTGCTATCACATCTTACAGTAGAAATTTTCAAAATCTTAAACCTTAGGAACAACAAATATACATATTTAAGATTTTTGCATATTTTAGACATTGTGGTACAAATAAACAAAGTGTTTTATAATATATAACTCATGTAAGATTCTGTTATCTAAAATGTTTAATAAGTATTTCATTTTATATTATAGAATACATACTTTTTTTTCTTCTTTGATTCTGCCTAATATGATATGAGGAGAGAGACAAATTTTTATTGCAAAATTCTGTACCAGGCAAACCTTTCTGACTTATAAAAGTGCAGCACTATCTACTCCATTCTTTGACAGCACTCTAGAAATTCAGATACACCTGAACAAAATTTTTTCCCCTCAACTTTCACATCCAATCCGTTACTAAACCCGGTTGTGTAAACCTCCATTATAGGTCTCATATTCATTCATTTATCTCCATATATACTGTCATCAAGTTAATCCAGGAACTATCATCTCTCACTTAGGCTATTAATCTCTAGTATCTACTGAGTGTTTATTTTCTGCCAGAGACTGATTAGTGTTTTGCAATGGATTATCTCATTCAATCTCTAGACCAATACTATGAGGTTGATTCTATTATTGTTCTTAACTCACATGGAGAAATTCCAGCATAGAGAATTTTAATAACTTAATAACTAGATAAGTTTAGTTACTTACATAAAATAACAGCTAATAAATGGCAGAACCAGAATTTAAACCAAAGCAGCCAGACCCCAAGCCCTTCACGCCTAACACAACACTATATTGCCTCCTTATATAAATCTCTACCTTTACTCCATTCCATTCCAGTCCCACACCACAATCAGAATGATCTTAAAATACTACAGTGGCTTTACATTTTAATAATATTAAATCCATACTCTTAGAAATGTCATATATGATCTGTCCTGCTTATTTCTCTTTCACATAGGGTCACTGACAACATTTCTCAATCCTATATTCTCTAGTCTTCTCTTGCTTTCTGAAATATGCTAGCTTAGCCTTCATAGCCAGTTGCACATCATCCTTCCTATCACAGTATAAATGTCAGTTCATCAGAAAGGCAACAATTAAGTTGAACTACATACATTGCCAATTATAGAAAACAAAACAGTCATATACCAGCACTTTCACATGGTTCAATATTATACTAAAGTAGGTTACTTCTGTATTTACCACTTATCCTCATTATTTTGTATCCCAGTTACTTGTTTATTTTATTGATAACACTTAGTAAATTGGTGATTATTTTATTTCTCTGATTATTTGGATGTGTGTTGAGTTTGTTTACCCACCACTAAATATAAGGCCAAGAAGGGTAAAGGCCATGATTGTTCTGTTTTATTCACCACGATGTTCCCAGTATCTGGACAATACTAAATCTCAATAAATATTTGCTCAATAATTTTAAAAATAAATAGATAGATGGATGGATAACTCTGGGGGTATGGGCATTCAGAAAAGCCTATTGGAATTGCTGATGTCTGTATAGGAACTGAAGGATAAATAGTTTACTCAAGAAGTGAAAAATGGAGGACACTCCAGGCAGAGAAAACAGTATGTGAAAAATGACAGAAGTATGTGAAAAACAAAAACAAACCAACAAACAAACAAAAAAAAACCCAAACACCATGTGTTTAGTGTTGATGGAGCCTAGAGGTCAATCTGGCAATGGCATGAAGTAAATGAAGTAAGATTGCATAGAAAGGAACTAGCTTGATTATGGAGGCCATCTCAGGTCATTTTAAAATCTTAGATTTTGTCCTGTAGTTGTCAGGAAGCCAATAAAGTCTTTTAAATAGAAGGGAAAGATGTTCAGACATATCATGGATTTTTCTGTCAGTGTCAATCTTGACTCTAACCTTTTAAGTCAATCAAACATACCCACCTATCATAAACTCAACGCCTCAGATGTTATAGTAGCTCTTGGTGATAATTTCCTACATTTCATTGCTATGCTTGCTCTTATTCTTCATCCACTTCAGTTCTATCCATCTGTTCTTAGGTTTTTCTGACTTCTAAAAATTGATTATTTATTTTTACTTAAATTTTTAATGTTGACAGTATTGTAAATGCCCCAAATTCACCTCACCCCATTTGCCCACCACCCCCACCTTGACCCTCACCACACTATTGTCTGTATCCATAGACTATGACGTATATATCTTCTTTAATTATTCCTTTCAACTTCCTTTATCCAGTCCCCTCACCACCCTTCCTTCTAATATTTGTCAGTCTGATCCATGTATCCGTAAATCTAGTTCTATTTTGTTAATCATTTTACTTTGTTCATTAGATTCCACATATTATGAAGATCATAAGAAATTTGTCTTTCTCTGACTGGCTTATTTCATTTAGCATAATAATTTCCAGGTCCATCTATGCTGTCAAAAAGGGTAAGAATTCCGTATTTCTTGTAGCAGCATAGCATTCCATGGTGAAAGCATACCTCAACTTTTTTATCCACTCATCTACTGATGGGCACTTGAGCTGTTTCTAGGTATTGGTTATTGTAAATAACGCTGATATAAATATAGGGGTGCATACATCCTTTCTGACTGGTGTTTTTGGATTTTTAGGATATATAAACCCAGAAGTGGGATCACTGGGTCAAAAGGCAGTTACATTTTTAATTTTTTGAGGAAACTCTATACTGTTTTTCCATAGTGGAGTCACTAGTTTGCATTCCCTCCAAGTGGGAAAAAAACTCCCTTTTTTTTCACATCCTCACCAACATTTGTTGTTTGTTGGTTTATTGATAGTAGCCACTATGAAAGGTGTGAAGTGATATATCATTTTATGTTAATTTGCATCTCACTGATGATTAGAGATCTTGTATGTTTGTTTTTTTGTTTTGTTTTTTTTTTCCATGTCTATTGGCCATCTGTATGTCCTCTTTGGAGAAGTGTCTATTCAGAATCTTTGCCCATTTTTTTCTTAGACTGTCTTCCTGGTGTTGAGTTGTATATATTCTTTATATATTTTGGAGATTAAGCACTTATTAATTGAGTCATTGGTGAATATGTTTGAATGATGGGTTCCCTTTTTGTTTTGTCGATGTTTTGTTTTTTTGTTTGTTTGTTTGTTTGTTTGTTTTTTGCTGTGCTTTTTGGTTTGATGTTGCTCCATCTGTTTATTTTTTTCTATATTTCCCTTGCCCTTGGAGACATACCAGCAAAAATATTGCTCTGAGACATGTCTGATATTTTACTACCTATGCTTTGTGGATTTTTATGTTTTCATGACTTACATTTAAGTCTTTTATCCATTTTGAGCTTATTCTTGTGTATGGTGTAATTTGGTGGCCTAGGTTTATTTTATTGCATTTATCTGCCCAATTTTCCCAATATCATTCATTAAAGAGTCTGTTTTAACTCCATTGTACACTCTTGTCTCCTTTATCAAATATTAATTGACCATAAAGGTATACATTTTCTGGGCTCTTCATTGTGTTCCATTGATTTCTATGCCTGTTCTTATGCCAGTGCCTAGCTGTTTTGATAACAGTGGCTTTATAGTATAGTTTGATATCTAGTGTTGTGATTCCTCCAACTAAATTTTTATTTTATCAAGATTACTAAGGCTATTCAGGGTCTTTTTTTGGTTCCATATAATTTTTTGAAATATTTGTTCTAGATCTGCAAAATATGGCTTTGGTATTTTAATAGGAATTGTGTTGAATCTATAGATTGCTTTGGGTAGTAAGGACATTTTACTGAAGTTAATTATTACAAAACATAAACATAGTATATGCTTCCACTAGTTTTCATTTCCTCTTTTTCTTTCTTTAGTGTCCTATAGCTTTCTAAGTACAGGTCTTTTACCTTCTTGGTTAACTGTATTCTTAACTATATTAATTTTTTGTTGCTGTGGTAAAAGGGGTTGTTTCCTTAGTTTCTTTTTCTGAGAGTTAGTTCATTATTGGTGTATAGAAATGCCATTGATTTTTGGGTGCTAATTTTGTATCCTGCTACTTTGCTGAATTCATTTATTAAATCTAGTATTTTTTGGTAGAGTCTTAGGAATTTCTATGTGCAATATAATGTCATCTGAAAATAATGTCAGTTTTATATCCTCCTTTTCAATTTGAATGTCTTTTATTTCTTCTTATCTGATTGCTGTGGCTAGGACTTCAAGCACTCTGTTGAACACAAGTGGTGAAAGGGGAGAGCTCTGTCTGTTTCTGATTTTAAGGGAAAGACTTTCAGTTTCCCCCCTCCCCATCTATTATGGTAATTTCAGGTAGGAGTAAAGAGATAAACTATACTAATGGATGCAGAATTAAAGAAAATTATTTTTTTGTGCTTTGTTTCTATCATAGAATAAGCAAACATATTCACATGGGGACAAGAAAGATAGGTTATAAAGAAAAAGTTTTAAGAAGATAGGAAAGAGGGGGAATAATGGATATTGCAAGACCACAGGAGAAACAGAGAAATCAAAGTCACAGGTAGAAGATGCATAATCCTGTAAGAGCAGAGGAAAAAAAAATCAAGAAAGGGTAGGGTTCAGAGTTTTTTCTTGGAGGGGGTAAGTGGAGTGAAAGATAAAAGGAAGAAAGTTGAAGTATTCTTACACTATAACCTTAATTTTTACTCAAAGTTATGTGTCAAGGTTATCTTCTGTGATTAAGGCTGAGGAGTGTTGTGTTTTTAAAAAAATATATATTTTATTGATTTTTTTTTCAGAGAGGAAGGGAGAGGGATAGAAAGTTAGAAACATCGATGAGAGAGAAACATTGATCAGCTGCCTCCTGCACACTCCCTACTGGAGATGTGCCAGCAACCAATGCACATGCCCTTAACCAGAACTGAACCTGGGATCTTTCAGTCCGCAGGCAGATGTTCTATCCACTGAGCCAAACTGGTTTCAGCAGCATATGGGTTT